ATCATTCGATTCACGCATCGAATCATTCGATTCACGCATCGAATGATTCGATTCACGCATCGAATGATTCGATTCACGCATCGAATGATGCATCGAATCATTCGATTCACGCATCGAATGAATTTGAATCGAATTATGAAACAGAATACACACCATAGTCGCCTGCATCGCAAATCTGGCAGTACCTGTATTGTAAAAGTACGAAGTACTTGTATTGTAGAGGTACGCAGTACATATATTGTATAGGTACGCACTACATGTATTGTAGAGGTACGCAGTACATGTATTGTAGAGGTACGCAGTACATGTATTGTAGAGGTACGCACTACATGTATTGTAGATGTACGCACTACATGTATTGTAGATGTACGCACTACATGTATTCAAGCTCTTGATGTATTGTAGAGGTACGCACTACATGTATTGTAGATGTACGCACTACATGTATTGTAGATGTACGCACTACATGTATTATAGAGGTACGCACTACATGTATTGTAGAGGTACGCACTACATGTATTGTAGAGGTACGCACTACATGTATTGTAGAGGTACACACTACATGTATTGTAGAGGTACGCACTACATGTATTATAGAGGTACGCACTACATGTATTGTAGAGGTACGCACTACATGTATTATAGAGGTACGCAGTACATGTATTATAGAGGGAAGCAGTAACGTAAAATAAGTGTAAATATGTGAAATATTAACGTAACTTGTGTGACCCATAAACACGTGCTCCCTGATTTGAGTATAAAGCTGGAATGGATTTAATTATTTCGAGATTTACAGCATATGACCGACCAAACACAGCATTAAAATACCGACTCTTATAAAGACTGTCACCAATGCTGCTTTCAGTGTCTCACAATCGTTAGAGACGACTGTGGTGCCAGTCCAGTAAGGATCCAAGGGTGTGAGAGCGCAGCCCCGTCGCCGCTGTGGGTGTGTCCCCCTGGTGACCATCGTGTGCACATCCTCGATAACAGTCTAATACAGTGCTGCCACGGCGGCGACTTCTGCAACAGCCACCTGTTACCAACGCGCCCTGGCGGCTGTCTCACGCCAGGGAGTGGTAAGTAGCGCCCACTGCAGATCTTATGATGTGTTTAGTTCCATGTTATCCATGACGAATCAGTACCATGTCAAAAATATGAATGTTAATAATCGTTACGTATTCGCTGTACTGTGTAAATCTCATATGCTATTCTATATTTTGAATCTTTGATTCTGTCTTCAACATTACGTTTTACATTACAAGAAATCAACAAATCCTGCATTCTATATCATCTTTCATATTTGATTTAAGTAATAAGAATTACTGGTACAAGGCGTCCGGCTATCATCTTGCTAAAACTAGTCACAGCGCGTATCTATTCACACACTAAATGTTAAAAAGTGTTGGTAAAAATAGACGTTGATATGATACGCGTTTTATCTGCGTTTTATTATTGCTGGCAGACGTCCGGCAAGCCGAGAACACCATCTCTCTCACTGTGCAGATAGTAGCGCCCCTCGTGGCCATGGTACTTGTTCTGATAGGATTTCTTTACATGATGATACGATTTCACAAGAATCAGGTATGCTGTCATCTTGTAATTATAACTAATGATGCATCACTGGTCATACACAACTCAATACTTACATACACTTAATATCAAATATGCTGTTGAATTTGACTTCTTGTTTTATAGGAAATCGTTCGCTATTTCATCACGTGTTTCTAAAGAGCTTATGTTGAGTGAATTAAAATAAAACGTATATTATTACGATGTGTTAATACTCTGAAATTTACAGAATAGGACGATATTTTGCGTAAACCTTGTCACGTGTTTGTGGGGAGGGATCGCCCAGTCTTTTCTGACGTAGCACGACTTCCGCCCGTGTTATAACATCAGCTATCCCCTGCTCAGCTGACGCGGTATTCAGCCGCTAGAAGCGTGGACCGCGGCGATCCGGCGCCGCCTGGTGGCGATTACGTGACGCGGCAGATCAGCGAGCTGTCGTCAGGCAGCGGCGTCGGCGTGGCGCTGCTCGTGCAGCGCACCATCGGCCGCGACATCCGCCTCATCCGACGCATCGGTGAGCAGCGCCGCCGGCAGGGGGCACCCGCGTAGCCGGCACGCGTGTAATGGTGGCGCTGGCAGTGTGTGTGTGTGTGTGTGTGTGTAGGGGGGGGGGTGTCTATATTCAAGCCGGTACGGGAGATTACGGTACGCATATATTTGCTAATATATTGACTAATCGTGCGTCAATAAACTCAATATTCACAGAGAGTATAGCTAAGACATGTGTCTAAAGGTATCTAGAATATATTATGCAAATGATCTCCCGTACCGGCTTGAATTCATACTCTCTGTGAATATTGAGTTTATTGACGCCCGATTAGTCAATATAGCAAATATATGCGTACCGTAATCTCCCGTACCGGCTTGAATATAGCCACCTCTCAGTGTGGGCGGCGGCGCTTCCTATATTCTGTATTTTGCTTTAGTGATGGTTATAATATATTATTGAGTACTGTATACTTATGATAATCTGTCTCTGACGACAGCAGTGACGACGATGACTATAATCTATCCCTGACGACAGCAGTGACGACGATGACTATAACCTATCCCTGACGACAGCAGTGACGACGATGACTATAATCTATCCCTGACGACAGCAGTGACGACATCAGTGACGACGATGACTATAATCTATTCCTGACGACAGCAGTGACGACGATGACTATAACCTATCCCTGACGACAGCAGTGACGACAGCAGTGACGACGATGACTATAATCTATTTCTGACAACATTTGTGACGACGATGACTATAATCTATCCCTGACAACAGCTGTGACGACGATGACTATAATCTATCCCTGACGACAGCAGTGACGACAGCAGTGACGACGATGATTATAATCTATCCCGGACGACAGCAGTAACGACGATGACTAGAATCGATCCCTGACGACAGCAGTGACGACGATGACTATAATCTATCGCTGAAGACAGCAGTGGCGACGATGACTATTAGTTATCATCGACAAGCAGACGTTCGAACATCGATGACATCCACTATGCCACGGACTTGCTCTCATCTCTCTCGATCTTCCATGTTGACTTCCGCCAAGGCCAAGGTCGTTTCTGCGAGGTATGGCGAGGGGAGTGTCGCTGGGGCGACGTGGCCGTAAAGATCTACGCGTCACGTGACGAGGGCGCGTGGAGTCGCGAGGAAGGGGTCTACGAGGCAGCGTTACTACAACATGACAACGTCGTCCGTGAGTCACGGTCTCTGGTGGTGTTGCAGCCTAAACGGTGGCGACGCTGGTGGTGGTGTATCCGCTCTATTGGCCATATTATAAACAGGAGCTATCGCTGACACTTTTAAGAGTAGTGCGTCGTTAAAATGGTTATCATCACCATCATCGTTAATGTCTTTACTTATTTGCAATTTACTTGATGAATTTATCTTGTCACAGCTTAAAAGGCGTATGTAATGCAGCAGGGTAGAAATCACAGCAACAAAACATAAACACACGGCAACCCCGCTAAAGACGAACTCACACAACTGTGTCTTCGTTTTCCTCTCCGCTGTGTCGATGATCAGGTTACATGGGATCGGATCTCGTGAGCGTGGATGGCTGCACGCAGTACTGGCTGCTGCTGCAGTACCACGGCTTAGGCTCGCTCTACGACTTCCTCATGGTGAATATCGTGGATGCCGCAGCGCTGCTTCGTTTCATGTGCTCGGCTGCCAGCGGTCTCACGCACCTTCACACACGACTCCACGGCATACATGGTGAGTTGGAGGGAGCAGTGGTGGCAGAGTGGAGGGAAGAGGGAGGGAAAGTGTCGGGGTTAGGGTGGTGGCAGAGTGGAGGGAAGAGGGAGGGAGAGTGTTGGGGGTTAGGGTGGTGGCAGAGTGGAGGGAAGAGGGAGGGAGAGTGTTGGGGGTTAGGGTGGTGGCAGAGTGGAGAGAAGAGGGAGGGAGAGTGTTGGAGTTAGGTGGTATTTGTACCTTCTTGGCTGCCAGCGGTCTCACGCACCTTCACACACGAGTCCACGGCATACATGGTGAGCGCGAGGGAGGGGTGGGTGGAGGGGGTGGTAAGGCGGAGGGGGAAGGGAGTGAGGGTTACAGAGGAGTGGGGACGGAGGGGTGCAGGAAAGATCCAGCATTGCATCCAAGCAGAAATTATGGTTTTACTTCGTAGCTTAATTTGTTTTTAATTTCTTTCTTTGAAGAGTATGACTATAAGATAACGTGACTGCTTGTTATGAGCAATAGGTGGGCCTGGCATTTACAGGAATAATAATTTGACAAATCAAAGGTCATGAACGAAATAAGAATCGAATATTTTCGATTTAAACCTGTAAATATAACTAGATGCGGCGAAATTTTCCTGTTTCTACATTTTCTTCTCGTCCGTCCAATATTTAAGACAATTTCGTCCGTCCCGTTTAGTAATCAAGAGCTAAAATGATGATTTAAACATTAGGAATAAAACGATACATGTTTCATGTTTGTTCCATGCTGTGCATCTTCCTTCTATAGGAAAGCTGGCCGTCGCTCACCGAGACCTGAAATCCAGGAACATCTTAGTGAAGGACAACGGTCAATGTTGCATAGCAGACTTTGGTCTGTCCATTCTACAGCGAGCCAACGGTAGCTTGGACATCGACGACAACGTTAAAGTCGGAACTAAGAGGTTAGCAGAAACATGTTCTTAATGGACGTGATTAATGTGTATGTGTGTAATGGGTAGATACGTATAGATGCAGTGTAATCAACGTACGTCTATGCTTTACATACAAAACCAACCGTGTCTAATCAGATAAATAACTGGTGTTATTATTTGTAAACGCAATGTTTATTCGTATATAGGGGAGATACATGTTTATTACAGATTAACAAGCGCATGATGCACATATACACGTTGTTTCAACATAATATACACGTACTCAACAAGCACTAATTTTGTTTATACATTATGTTCACTATATTTTCATATGTGTTTAATGCATCTACACATTTGTTTAAGTTATTTACGCATGCGTTTCACTTACGTGTACATTTCTTTTAGCTCCATAGCCATGTGTTTAACGTACCTGTCTGCGTGTTCCCCTGCATATTCATGTGTTCTCGCTAAATATAGATCTGCCTTAGCTACATAAACATGTCTTTACGCTGCATAATATGCATGTGTTTAGCATGTGTTCAGCCTACATGCACACGTCATTAAGTTGCATATATATATACCGTTAAGCTACATAGTCATGTGTTTAACTACAGATATGTGTTCAGCCTACATTCACACGTCTTTAGGTTACATAATTATGCATATCGTTAGGCTACATAGTCATGTGTTCATAGCTACATATATGTGTTCAGCCTACATGCATACGTCTTTAAGTTACATATAAATATCGTTAAGCTACATAGTCATGTGTTTAGCTACGTGTTCAGCCTACATGCACACGTCTTTAAGGTACATGGCCCCGGAGATTCTAGATGACAAGATCGATCGAGAGAATTTCGAAGCTTTCAAAAAGGCCGACGTTTATTCATTCAGTCTGATCATGTGGGAGACGGCTCGTCGATGTTACACGAACGGTATGCTCGGCTGTGATCGGATCATCGGTCGTATTTACAAATTGTCTTGGCATAGCAAGCTACTATTTGGAAAGAATAAATTAGTCATATTTCGGTAGATCTAAAATAGAGATGGAGATAGAGCAAGAGTGAGAGCCTGATATGGGAGAAAATGTTAGAGAGGGTGCGGCAGAGAGAGAGAGAGAGAGAGAGAGAGAGAGAGAGAGAAAGAGAGAGAGAGAGCGAGAGAGAAAGAGATAGAGGGAGAGTTGAAAAGGCGAGAACGTGAGAGGGTGAGGGGCGGAGCGAGAGGAACACAAGGATAGTGGGATGAACACATGTAGCGAGAGATAGCGAGAGCAAGAGAAAGAGAGAGAGAGAGAGAGAGAGAGAGAGAGAGAGAGAGAGAGAGAGAGAGAGAGAGAGAGAGAGAGAGAG